TAAAATGTCTGGGATGATCACAAGATTTCCCCAGGTTACACATCCTTGGTAAACATTGAGTTCATCTCTGCGATTGTAGTAGGGCTTTAACTGTTCATCACAGTCGTGAGGAAAATGTCCTCTTACCACGTAGTCTAGGACTTGACTCAGAACTGGGTCACGCTGTGTTTTCCTACGAATTTGCACACAGGTAACAGGTAAGTCATCGAAATGTCTGTTGTAGAACAAATCAATAGGATCCTTTTCATCCTGTGGTTGATTAACTGTGGGTAATGGTACATGCGACAGTGCGTCAGCATTACCATGAGACTTGGTTCCACGAAATTCAATGTCATGCTGGTATCCTGATAAGAATACAGCGTAGCGCTGGAGACGTGCTGCTGTCATCACAGGAAAGGACTTCTCTGGATTGAAGATGCTCAGCAAGGGTTTGTGGTCTGTGACAAGTGTAAATTTATGTCCATAAAGGTACGAATTAAACTTTCTCACACCCCAGTAGAGAGCAAGCGCCTTAATGTCGATCTGTGAATAAGCCTTCTCTGCCTGGTTCAGTGTGCGCGACGCAAATGCTATGGGTCGTTCGGAGCCATCTGGAAACACATGGGAAAGTACAGACCCAATTCCATAAGGCGAAGCATCTGCAGCTAGTTTCAAGGGTAGCCTGGCATCATAGTGGCACAGAACCTTGTCGGAGCAAATGGCGTCCTTTATTTCATTGAAGGCCCTATCTCGATTGGAATTCCATTCCCATTTAGTTCCTTTATTAAGGAGTTCATGAAGTGGTCCTGCTTTACTGGAAAGGTTGTCTAAGAATCGGTGGTAATAGTTCACTAGGCCTAGAAATGACCTAAGTTGTGAAACATTCTCAGGTCGTTGGGCATCTTTGACAGCCTCAATTTTGTCAGGTGACTTGTGTAGGCCACTAGCATCGATTTCATGTCCCACGTAGCTCACCTTAGCTTGGAAAAATTCACATTTCTGAAGGTTTACATGTAGTCCATAGGATTGTAGACGGTCCAGTACGAGTTTCAAGTTGTGTAAGTGTTCCTCATCATTGCGACCAGTAACAATAATGTCATCAATGATCACTTGCGTTGATGGTATATTCTATAGTACTTGCTCAATTGCACGTTGCCATAGAGCTGGAGCGGACGCAATTCCGTACGGAAGTCGCTTGTATTTAAACAGGCCCTTATGAGTGTTTATGACTAGTAGATCCTGCGAAGCTTCATCTAGTTCCATGTGATGATATGCTTGTGTTAAGTCCAGTTTTGAGAAATTCTTTCCACCAGCTAGAGTTGCAAAGATGTCCTCAATTTTGGGAAGAGGGTATTTGTCGACGCACATTACCGGATTTACTGTTACTTTGTAATCACCACACAGTCTGACGTTTCCATTCTTCTTAATGGCTGGGACTATGGGGGTAGCCCATTTACTATGTGCGACAGGCTCTATAATTCCATCTGCCTGTAGTTGATCAAGTTCTTGTTCAACCTTGGTCCTCAGTGAGTAAGGAACAGTTCTGGCCTTAAGAAACACAGGTTTTGCTTCTGGTTCAACTGTAGCTGTCCCCTTAATGTGCTTAAGAGTTCCGACTCCTGGTGAGAACAACTTTTTGTGCGAGTCAAGTAGATCCTTCAAGGATGATGGGTGTGTTGCATCACTTGAGCGTAAAGTCTTAATCTCTTGCCAGTTGAGCTTTAGCTTTCCAAGCCAGTCTCTTCCTAATAAAGCTGGTCCATCATGTGGAAGAACAAGCAAATCGACGTTAGCAGATTGCGAGTTAAGTTGAACGTTCACCTTCATCTTGCCCAGGGGTTGAATTGTGTCTCCCGAATATGCACGCAGTAATTCACTTGATGGTTCAAGGTTTACATTGCCAAAGTTTGCACTGTAGTCACTCTTAGAAATCACGGAAACAGCTGTTCCTGTGTCGACCTCCATCTTGATGACTTTTCCATCAATAAAAGGTTGCACAGTTATTGGTGGTTCATGATGTGCTTTCAAGTGAAAAGTGCTTGTGGTGTGTAGAAGTGGTTCTCCAGTACCCTCCGTGTAGCGTTCTTCGGAGTGAAAATCCTCCTCGTTATAGAATAGGGAAGTGTTGCGTCCCTTATTTCTGTCACGTTTCTTCTTCATACAGTCTCGCTAAATGTGTTCCACCTTCCGACAGAAACAGCAGACGGTGTTTGTGTGTCGACACTGCGATGCTGGATGATCCCCATCACAACGATAGCATGAATATTTCTGTGTTGTCGATCGTGCTTGAGGTTGAGGGTTTGCATTTCTCACTGTAGGCTTCTTGTTAAATTATCGAGGTTTCGGACGTGTGCTGATCTTGTTAACTGTTTCACTTTTTACCCCCTGTACTTCAGCTGCATCTCACGCTGCCGTTTCCATAGCTACCGCAAGGTTGATAGCTTTTTCCAGGTCAAGGTCTTTCTCTGAAAGTAGCCTCTTCTGTATTGTTTCTTGTCGTAAACCAACCACATGTCTGTCACTTAGTGTGTCACTCAAAGCTGCCTCAAACTGACAATGGGTTGCCAAATTACGGAGCTCTGCCATGTACGACAAAACCGACTCATCTGGGCGTTGATTGCGCTTATGAAATCGGAACCGCTCGGCAATGACCGATGGCTTGGGGCTCAAGTGATCACACAGTGCTTTCAAAAGGTCTTTAATGCCTTTCTCTGTAGCCTTAGCAGGAGCAATTAAGTTTTTCAGAAGTGTGTAAGTCTTTGGACCAATTAAGCTTATCAAAGCAGGTACTTTGTGGTTATTATCAATGTCATTAGCGAGGAAAAATGCCTGTAGTCTCTCCTCATATGATTCCCATGATTCGACCGAATCATCAAATTGCTCGACTTTGCCGATGTGTGGCATTGTAAACGTACTTACTCCTCGTCGCCAGTTGTTACGTTGTGGTGAGGACAAATAGATACAGGATCTATATGGTAATTTGTAGAAATGTCGTTGAGACAATGGAAACATAATAGTTTATTTAACTAAGTGTCAAAACCAAAACATGCACAAAACTATAAGATCCGGATTTCTAGAACACGGAAATATAATTTCCGGATTACTTAATACACTACACATATGGTGCAAAATATCTAGCCTTTCTTTGCAGAAAGGACATTCATTTTAGACCAGATTCACCAGAATAACTTATTTCCTGAACCTTAAATTATATGACATTGTGGCCAATGGGACTTGCTTTTTATAGATCTGTAAAGCCATATAAAATAATCATATATAGATTATTTTTTATCTAAGCCTAATTTGAATTCTTTATCCTGTGTGTTTTATAAGGTAAACCGTTTATCTTAATATAAAGAACTTATATACCGGTATGAAATTAGTATTTCTTTCTTTTCATTTGGCTTTACAGGAATATCATTATGCATGAACATTTTACTATTTAAATTTGTTTCAGATTTTTTAGCTCTACTGGTCAGAGACCAGAAGAGCTTATGCGATAGAAATGCGTCTGGCGTCCGTCCGTCTGTGTGTCTGTCCGTCTGTCTGTAAACAATTTTTCAAAATGCTACTCCTCCTACAATTTGGTCTGATTTCAATATAACTTGACATACATGTAGACTACACTAAGATACATAATTCTGTGTATCGGTTTTTGATTTCGATAAACAGTGTTGCCGTCGTAACTAAAAATAGAAATTTCTGTGAAATTCCTTTAAAATGCTACTCCTCCTGCAGTTTTGGTCTGATTTCAATATAACTTGGCAAACAAGTAGACTACACCAAGTTACATAATTCTGTTTATCGGTTTTTGATTTCGATAAACGATGTTGCCGTGGTAACTATAAATAGAAATTTCCGTGAAATTCTTTCAAAATGCTACTCCTCCTACAGTTTTGGTCTGATTTCAGTATAACTTGGCACACAAGTAGACTACACCAAGATACATAATTCTGATTATTGGTTTTTGATTTGGATAAACGGTGTTGCCGTGGTAACTAAAAATAGAAATTTCTGTGAAATTCTTTCAAAATGCTACTCCTCCTACCGTTTTGGTCTGATTTCAATATAACTTGGCACACAAATAGAATACACTAAGATACATAAGTCTGTGTATTGGTTTTTGATTTCGATGAACGTTGTTGCCATGGTTACTAAAAATAGAAATTTCTGTGAAATTCTTTCAAAATGCTACTCCTCCTATAGTTTTGGTCTGATTTCAATATAACTTGGATCATAAGTAGACTACACGAAGATCCATTATTCTGTACATCTGTTTTTGATTTCGGTGAATGGTGTTGCCGTGGTTACTAAAAATAGAAATGTCTGTAAAATTGTTTCAAAATGCTACTCCTCCTACAGTTTTGGTCTGATTTCAATATAACTTGGCACACAAGTAGACTACTAAGAACATAAAAAGACTTTATCAAGGATTATTATTCTATTTATTGCTTTTGTTAAGTTTCAATTCCCAACTGCTTAAGTACTTTTCCTTTGCTCTAAGTACAAACCAGTAGAGCTTCAGTCTCGACAGAGACTTCTAGTTTTTTGTTCTTGTTGATTTGGAGTGATTTGGAATTGGAAATTCACCGACCACAAATGTTTAGGACATAAAGAAGGAACCAAGGTTAGATTGCAGAAAGGTTTAAAATTTGTAATAAAAATTGCAGATAAAAATTTTGAATTATGGATTCATCTCTTTGAACATGGTATGCTCTTCTTTGATTTTTTGTTTGCATTTTTTTTTTTGTTTATCATGGACGGAAAATTCAAATAATTTGTGCTAATATTTCTGATGAAAGAAAAATAATGTTGAATTTATGAAAAACACACACACTGTATTTCTTTTTTCAACAATTTTTTATACAAAAAATAGTTGTCAAATATATGTGTTAGAATTTTTGTTTTCATTGAAATTTTTTATTGAATTTTTAGACATTGGCATTTTTTAAACATGTAATTGTTTCAACATGTACAATTTGATCACCATTTATTTTTTAAATTTTAAGGTACCGCTGGGAATTCTTGACAAAATTGAAACAAGATGAACGACATGATAGAAATTCTGGAATATCTTCACAAGTTTGTGCCAAATGCAAGGAATGCTGACGAAATAGAAAATCTAACAGAGAGGTGTGTATATTATAATTGAAAAAAAACCCAGTTGTTTGATGTGTTGAAAGTTAGGAAAAAATACTTAACCTCAACCAAAACATATTGAAGTAAACATTGCAGTTATATGTAAATTAATGATTTACATTTAAATTAAGGGCAATATTGTTAAAAAAAAGGTACATGTATTTGTATTTTTGTCCTTTTCATTCTGAAAAAAAACGAGACCTAGCTGAGTTAGTCACACAGATTAAAAGGGGGGGGATCATTGCGATGTACGCTTTAGACCTTCCTCCACCTACATTTGCAACTGATTATTATTTTATAAAGAATTGAGCCCATAGTTAATAATTTGAAAAAAGAAACAAGCTTCTTATTGCATTGTATTGTGTACAAAAGAAAGGTCTTTATAATTATATGTATATCTTTGTTTCTAGGGAGGACAGGGGGCCTATGCGAGTCATACCGTTGGGAGGTGACCAGTTAACCTGTGAACCCAGTGAGCATTAGGGGGGCTCATATGGCACGGTTCGATGCAGATAGTCTAGAGGAGAGGCTGGAAGGCTGTGCGTCCATGATGGAAGATTTCCATGAGAAGATGAATTTTTTACAGGTTAGATAATCAAGTACAACTTAAGATTTTTTTTGCCTATTTGTTAATGTTCCATCAATATCTCATTTCTAGAGAACCATCATGATCTGCAGGCAGCAGATATCTTTTTAACTTTGCAAAGCAATTTATTTATGTAAAGAGAGGTGCTTCTCCACCAGCATAACTGTTGATACTTCAAATGTTTATATATGATGATAAAAAAATACTGTAAAAAATGCTTATAGTGAACATGCTTAATTATTATGAAAATGACGCTTGCAGTGACTTTAAAATCTATTGTAAACTTAAAGCAGATAAAATTAATTAAATTTGTAAAGCTAAATTACATACCCTGGCACTTCATTATAAGCATGTTATACTGTAATTGTAGTGCTATTAAAACTAGTTCATGCATATTTAATTACTACAACTTAAGGGCATAGTACTACTATTTACTTGTACATTAGAAATAAGATTCATAAGAATAACACTAGATTTATCATATTTTTTTTTTATAATTGCAGATGATAATGGACAGATTTTACAACAGTGGAAGTGCAAGGGAACCTGGAACTTTATATCACTTAAAGAGTGTGATTAACAGAAGAAATGTCAGCAGTACTGTGTCAAAAGACTATCATGCTGACAATGCTTTTATAGACTTAGTTGGAGAAAGCCATGTCATTTCCCTTGCAATAACACATTTTGAAATGGCAGATCTTAATGCACCATGCAAAGTTTTCCCACATGGCATTCATCTAGTAGACATTGATCATAAGAAGAGGATTCTTCGAAACCTTGTTGGTGAGCTGGTTGACAGCCATATAATGAACATACTATCCCAAACCCTTAATAGAGAACAGCATTGTGAAGATGAAAATAATGACAGAATTTATAACTATGCGACCAATTTTTTGAAATTCTGGCTTTTACGTAAAATAAGCATAGTGGCCACAAGAAGTGGAGATGGGATGCGCATTTTACGTCATTGGAAATATGGTATGCTGCTCTATCATACTGCGCATAAGACAAAGTACAGACTGGAAGCCTTCCTGCTAATTGCCTGCACCATTGCTCTCTTCACCCCAAAACAACAACATCAAGTTATATGGAATAGATTTGTCAATTTAAGTGGTGGAAGGGGGAAAATTTAGATGGGGATTATGTAATGGAACTTTTAAGAAAAATATGCCAAGGCAAGGGTAAAACTAATAGGACCAACCCATTCCCCAGAGGCTGTACTAAGAATAGGTAAAACCATGATGTTTTGCCATGACATTTCTAGAAACCTGGAATGTCAGGTGGGAGCTGCACCTATATCTAGGAAACACAAAGCCCAGGATACCACCGGAGACCTGACAAAACTTGTAAGAGAATTACAAAAAGCAAGTGTTTTTACCTGTACACCTGAAAGGGCCTACAACTCATTTCAAAATGAGCCATCAGATATTTTTACACAATTCAATGTCATTGAATTCCACAAGTGGATGAATGCAAAGAAGAAGCAATATGCTGGAAATAAACAAGCCTTTTAAATACATGTAAGTTGGTTTTAAATGAGTTTTGTATATCTTGAATGGTATTTATATACTAGTACATGCAGTAATTTTATTTTTCATCTTCATTTCATTTTAGTCAGACATAACATTCTCAATAATTTCATAAACAAACTGGGAAAGAATGTCCTCAACAGAAAAAAATGTAATGCACATTTGCAACAATATCACTTATCACTTTGTTGCTAAGACCTGTTATGAGTCCAATATTTAACAAAGAAGTACATTTATCACCTAACAACTTTTCACGTAAGTCATACAGTTTTTCCTTAATTTTCATTCTTTGTAGGTCGTGTACATTACGCACTGGAGGCTCCTCAACCATATCCACAGCCTTCACTAGGGATTCCTCTTCTAAGTCCAGAACTGCAGCAGAGTCAGAAGGACAGTCACCACATTCACAGTCGTTCTTGCAGTTATCACAGCACAAACACAGGCTGGAAACATGTGTGATTGCGGTATCTTCTGGTGTAAAATGTTCCAGTAAAAATTTACCTCTACATGATTTTAACAGACAGAATTCCCTCATGTGACTATCGGTTGCAACAGTACTTATATCAGCTGGGTGATAGTAAACTACAGACACGGATTGATTTCCATCCCTTCCAGCACGTCCACTTTGTTGCATGTATCCTTGAATACTGTGAGAAGCCCCCCAGTGGACAATAATACGTACATCTGGTACATTCACTTCCATACCAAATGCAGTTGTTGCTATTACAACTCGTAACGTGCTATTGGTGTTACAAAATGTGTCCATTATGATTGTTTTGTTTTTTTGAGTAGTGGAGTGAAACATGGCAAAAAGACAGTTTTTTGCTGAACATGTCTCAATGTAGGAGTTTTGGGAACCAAGCTGGCTCATTAGATATTGATAAATGAGTCCACAAGATTTGATGTTTCTGCAGTAAATAATACATTTCGGGGTATTTTCTTTCAGTGCATTAAGGTCATTACACAACCACGAAAACCATTCATTTATTCTTGCTGAAGCTTTTATACAGACATGCTTTATGTTTGGCCTGTCACAACTCAAGATTACTTCAAGAAAATTCTTCATGCATAACATTTCCGACATTTTTTTTCTATCAGACTGTGTAGCAGTAGCAGTTAAGGCTAACATATTAGCATTAGGAAGCAAACTTCTCAATTCTGCTAATCTAGAGTAATCTGTTCTGAACTCTGTACCCCTAGGAAAAAAAAGATGTGCCAAATATAAATCTGTTTATGTAAGAAAGCTATAACATGATCATTATAATATTTGTAGAATTTCCATTATTTTCCATTTTCCAAATAAGTTTTACAGAAAACATTATGTCAGTGCTAGGCAGTTTAAATTGTAGGTAGAAAATAGTAAGATACATGTATAATTATAATTTCTTTTAAAGATCTAAAATTGTACCCCACTTATATTCGTGTATGTTGCATTATTTTATGTACCATTGTTCAACGCAGTGGCATTCGTCTATGACAATTGAGTGTAGGTGCTGTTGATATGGATCTGTGAGGATGAGCTCTCTCCAGGTACCAGACTTTCAGGACTCAACATTATCAAAGGAATCTGTCCTTCTTTAATCAAGCGCATGCGTTCTGTGTAATATAAAAGATATTGAAGAGATGAAGCATCTATACAGTATATAAGAGTACCGGTTGATTTAAAAAAAAAACAACAACTTTGTATCACTCAATTTCAATTATTATGCTATCATGTGTTGGTGTAATCACCATGTGCACAAACTTTTTATCTGATTGCTGTCTGAAACTGATGTAGTACACAGTATACATGAAGTCTTTTGAAGAAAAATTTTGATTAATGGAAAAAAGCTGTAAAATTTATTCATAAGGTATTAATTTCTCTTTCATTATACTTATGGAGAGCAAAATTAGATATTGATTAGTGCTTATACCACAATGCAAAATTGAATATCACTTGTATTCTCATATCGTTCATTTATACTATATTTATGTGTTATATGGCAATTTATTGTTCTCGACATAACCTTAATAGTGGCATCAATGTGGCAGTCGTTAATTTGATATGAGTAATCTGCAACCATTAACATGAAATAAAACTTTTTGTTTGTCCTATGATTGGAAAGAAATATTTGCAATGACTTCAATTTTGTTTTTTAAATGTAAGTAAGAAGTTGACAGTTGATACAGATATCAGAATTAAGTAAGATTGACTGGAAGTTTGCACGAAGGAAATGAACTAGTAACAAACTGAAAGTGGATTCGAACCACTGTCTCCATTGCATAAAGCAATGACGCTCTCACCACTAAGCTGTTCAGTTTTATATAAGAGTTCACATTTCCATAATGCAGGAATGTCTGATGTACAGTTAAAAATAAAGAAATAAAGAAATCACGATAACTCAGTACATATCACATCCAGTACGATCAATTTATTTAGTAATGAAGCTAGAAATACCTACAGTATCTTTATTTAATAGCTACCTTGAGTAGTTTATTTAGCTATTTCCAGGTAACTTTTCACAATTTTTCTCTTATATGATTATCAAGAAGTAGATAAAATCACATGTAAATGTATACTCATGAGTAAGTAAGTATAATTTGCAATTGCAGAGAAAAAGACTCATCTCTAAGACTGATTTTTTCATTAATTGTTTTCAGATGAGTTCAATATTGAAAATCATCACTGCATCAAAATGCAATTCTCTATATTTCCATTGAAAAATGCATATTTAAGACATATTAAGCTACTTCAAGTAGATAAATAAACTAAGTAATTCAAGCTATGCAGCTAAATCTGGTGATTGTACCAGTGTCAAGTCAACTTGTACTTGTTTCAACTTGAACCCAAACTGAGTCATACCCAAAGATTCAACTTGTAACTGAACCCAAACTGAGTCATACCCAAAGATTCAACTTGTAACTGAAGTCATACACATGAAATATTTCTTTTTCAAATTGATATCTTTTCATCAAGATATCTGATTTATTATTCAATATTAAGTTACACTCCTTTGTTAATATTACTACTATAATTATAGATTATTATGTGTATACTAAATAATCTAATAGTACTTGCCTTTGTATATAGTGTAACATTCTATATGTTAGTAACAGTTTTGGGTAAATTTTGACTCCCTTGGTACATGTACTACTCGGTTTGGGTACGAGTCGGTTTGAGTTCACTGTAAATGTAAGACCTATATGTATATTAACAGACAAACCTTCGGTGTGGGGTTCTCCAAGATAAATGGAATCAACTCCAAGTTTTGTTACTAGTTGTAGCTCCTCTTGCATCCCTCATGAAAGACCAGGTACAGAACATTATAATACATGATCTATCGACAGAGCTAAAATTATCGGTCTGGTTTGGGGCAGTACTCTCTATTAATCGCCACATTTTTGGCAGAATACTGTAAATGATGGACTTGCTATACCCCGTTGGAAGCACGGCAAAACATCTTTGCCTATGGATAAGTTCTCTAAACAGATAATCTGTTTTTCTTTCAATGGAAAAGATGTATTTAACGCGTCGAGAGTTGCTTTCAACGTTTTCTCCATGGGCGCAGCCATGACACTTTTCATCAGCCAATCAGCTTTCTTATCAGATTTCTGATAAGCCTCGCTCTGAGTTCAAATTTTATTTTATAGAAAGCGTCCAGACGTTTGTGGAGGTAAACGCAAACGTCCGGATGATGCAGACTACAGCCATAACTGAATACAGAAATTTTGCTACGAAGATGTCTAGAAGTTAATACATATTGGAATGACTAAATCAGCATGAGGTCAAATTCATAGGCTTTTAATTGTTTAGTTGCAGCATGTTCTGAAGTATGTTTATATACATATACTTTAAAGGTGTTGCAGTATAATTCATGGACAATTTCATCAGAATATTCAGATGTAAAGACTGCCATAAATACCAGAGTTCTTCCATGGAATAAATTTTAAGACCATCATGTAGCACAGAAGGAGTGTTATTTTGAATATTTTTGGCTAAATTATGCCTAAAAACAATATCAAGAATATCATTTAGTCTGATTAGTACAACATGATAAAGTGATATCAATGTTGTCTTTCAAAGTGTAGAAAAAGCCTGATTTTTATGTTCCGAGCCCATAATATAGCCCCTGTTTCCATGGAAATAATATTGGGACATACATATTTTTTTAGTTCAATTTAATGAAAATGATCAAATTAATGACTTCATGGATTTTGATGGAATCGGTAGATATGTAAAATGTTGATTTTTAAATTTTTGTTGCCATGGCAACGGTTTTACTTTATCAAGGAAAATTCAAAAATCTTTTTTACCCAAATTTTCACATTTTTGATAATGGAAAATTAAAAGTTTAAATAATATAAGCATGAATTATACTAATTCAGGTCATTTAATTACATAAGTTTGATAATTTATAATATAAATCAATTTATTCAATGAAAATAATATTCGAGGTGAAATATGTAATACGTTAAATTTGGCGTCTTTTATTCAAAAAACGGGACGGGCAATATCTTAAATCATATTAAATGATGAAACTAATCTCCCTGAATAAATTGATATATAGCATGTGTGCAGATTTAAACAAATATGAATTGGAGGGAGACGCAAACCTTACCTTAAATTTCTTTAAATATTGACGAGCAACTGAACTGCTGGTTTTCATAATTTTCCAGTTTCATCCGAGGATTTAGTTAATATCCCAAGGAAGATATGATTTCTTTCGTTTAAGGGATGAATTAGACAAATCAATTTCTACCTGGTATAATAATGATTTTTTTCCCCAGAATTACAAGGTTTTCATTTGAATATCACGTGGTTTTTAGCTTTACTGGTCAGAGACCAGAAGAGTTTATGCGATAGTAATGCGTCCGTCGTCCGTCCGTCTGTAAACAATTTTTCAAAATGCTACTCCTCCTACAGTTTTGATCTGATTTCAATATAACTTGGCACACAAATAGACTACACTAAGATATATAATTCTGTGTATCGTTTTGATTTAGATGAACGGTGTTGCGGTGGTTACTAAAAATAGAAAATTCTTTAAGATTCTTTTAAAATGCTACTCATCCTACAGGCTTGGTCTGATTTCAATATGACTTGGTACACAAGTAGTGTACACTAAGATACATAATTCTGTTTATCGGTTTTTGATTTCAATGAACGGTGTTGCCGTGGTAACTAAAAATAGAAATTTCTTTGAGATTCTTTTAAAATGCTACTCCTCCTACAGTTTTGGTCTGATTTCAATATAACTTGGCATACTAGTACACTACATTAAGATACATAATTCTGTTTATCGGTTTTCGATTTCGTTGAACGATGTTGCCGTGGTTACTAAAAATAGAAATTTCTGTGAAATACTTTTAAAATGCTACTCCTTCTACAGCTTTGGTTTGATTCCAGTATAATTTGATACAAAACAAGACTACACTAAGATACATATT